AACATTCTAAGAAATACGTTCGATAAAAACTTCTTAATGACATGTATAACTTCATACAAGTTGGAATTTAATGTTTCAAACTTATATTATTTTTAAATGTACATAGTTAAAGATTGAAGTTGAAGAACTCAGTGACCTGCAAGTAAATTTAACTTTTGATAATTTATTCGATATTTACTTGTGAACTTATATGGACTAGAGACAACATCTAGATTATGCTATTATAGAACATATTTGGAGCCCATAAGAATGTAATCTTAACACTTGTTTGCACCTTAAAATTGATTGATATAATTAATTTGAATACGTATCGTATCGTGTAAAGCCTAATTTTTTTTTAAAGAAGGATTAGATCAGAAAATTCTCCATGGTGGAGCAAAAAGTGCAACTCTAGAGCTAAAAAGCAGCATGTCGGGCCACGAATATTAAAAGATTCACTTTCTAACCAAGTTGTAAATTTTTTGAATCTTTCAAGAATTTAAACATTCAATTTTGATTAAATATTTGAACACAAACAAATTTGAAAACTCGTGCAATCAAATTTTTAAAATTTAAATTAAAAGTGTCTAATATAAATACTTTATTATATGTTTAATCAAAATATTCAAGTGTCTAAACAAAATTTATTTACAAATTTGAGAAGTTATCAAGGTATTCAAATTAAAATTAAAGATAACTTTATAAATGTTGGAATTTAAACGTGATTTAGGAGACATATTTAATTCATGAAATTGTACATGTATATCTTTGCGGGTTAGCTTTTAATCAAGAGAAACTGAAGGAAAAAAAGTGAACAAACTAAAATTTCTGGGGTAAAATATCTCAATTCTTATAATAGAGGGGGGTACAATATACTTTTCAGTTTTCACTGATCAAGTTAGAAATATTATAGTAAATTATATTCTGACCCACCAACTATACAAAATTCTCTTTCAGTCCCCCCTCAGGCCCTCCTCAAGGAAAAAAAGTTCAACTATGGTATTCTTTCCAACCTTTAATATACCTTATCTTTACCCTTAACCTTCCCCATGACATAGTCAGAAATTTTATAAAAGTGATAAAGAATATTTTTTAAAAAAAAAGTGAATTTGAATGTTATTTTGCTTAACCTAACAATTGACATGCTGTGAAAATAAAACAAAAAAATATCATGCTAAAAAGGAGTTCAAATCCAGAACTATTCAATTCAAATGGACACTCTTTTATCATTGCGCTAAAGATATAACTTTTGTCAAAAGTGTCCAATTCTAAATATATATTACTTTAACACAAAATTTTAACATATATATATACAATGTAATTTTCTAACAAGAACACCCTTGAAGTGGCTACAGTTCCGCCCCTGCTTCATCTCCCCCGTTCGATAACCTTATGACCTTACCACTAGGGGTGTCAATGGTACGGTGCGGTCGGTTATTTTTTAAAATTACACCATCCCAATTTTTTTTGGGTATTTAATAATATATAACCAAAATTAGACTTTTTAGAACCATTCAATCATATCGGTTTCTCTTCGGTATCGTTATGGTTCGATTAATTTTTGTTTTCTTTTTTACTTTTAAAATATCACCTCAAAATATACTACTGTTAATATATTTCTTTCACAAATATGTTCTTGAAAAAACACTTTAATTCTTCACAAAAAGAACAAGAATGTTAAACCTTATTGTCGTATTGTTTGATCTTAAATATTTAATAGGAGTGTTTGAATATGCTTTGTTGTATTGTTTGATAGAGTATCTATTAGGGAAAAGGGTATGAAAAATACTTCAACTTTGGTCGAAATTGTTGTTACGATACCGAACTTTATGGAGGACCCTTTTACCCCCTGCACTATTTAATAGTGTATTTTAAATGTATATATGTGCCCACGTGGACACATTACTATTTATAATTATGTAATATTTATGATATCCACGTGGGCACATATATACCTTTAAAAATACACTATTAAATAGTGCAGTGGGGTAAAAGGTCTTTTCCAAAGTTTGATATTGTTACAACAATTTCGGTCGAAGTTCGGATATATTTCAGACCTTTTTTCCTATCTATTACGATATCTTTTAATTTTAAACCTAATTAAATAAAGACGAATTAAAGTGCAAAGACTCAAAGTCATTTAGTCACCAGAGGCCTAGGATCTAAGTTATATTTATATTTGAAAAATGTTATAAAATATATTTATATATTAAATTTAACATATTATTAATAGGAAAAAGGGTCTAAAATGCTCTTAAATTATGTGAAAGAACAAAAATGCCCTCCGTTAATAGTTTGGCTCAAAAATGCCCTTACTGTCAATACTTTGGTTCAAAAATGCCCTTAAACTATGCGAAAGGGACAAAAATGTCATCCGTTTGTAGTTTGGTCCAAAAATGTCCTTGACGTCAATACTTTGTTCCAAAAATGCTCCTATTGTTATTTAATGGGTAAAAAATGCTAATTTTCCAAATAAATATATTATTGTTTTTTTAACACATTCTTTTTCTAATATTTTTTTAAAGCAAATGTTTATCTTACTTCAATTCAGAAAAAAAATAAAAAGTGAAACTACTTCTTATTTTTTTATGATTATTTTTTATTGTTGTATAAATATAAATTAATGATGGATATAATATAATCTTTTATATATGACATATATTATCTGTCGAAAGGATACATGAAGTTATTCTATTTTAATTGATAAAATGAGATTAAGAGGAAAAAAAAATTCCTACATTTTTATTTGTTAAAGTGATTTTAGAAGAAAGAAAACAAGAATAATGTTCTTTAGTAATTTTTTAATTAGGAAGATGTGTTTAAAAAGAAAAAAAATAATCAAAAAAGGGCATTTTCACCCATTTTGTAACTATAGGGGCATTTCTGGACCAAAGTATTGACTGCAAGAGCATTTTTGAACGAAAGTATTGACGGTAAGAACATTTTTTAGCCAAACTATAATGAGCAACTTCCACATATAACAAACATAAAAATCATATTTGTATGTTATAGCTATAGTTTGCATAATTGTGCTCCATAACAAATTTTATGTTTGCTATAGAGCTTTTGATTTGTATAATTTGCTAGATACTTCCAATTTTTATACAAATTGTTCAGTTTTGTATAAATTCATTTATACATTGTAATTTGTATAATAAGATTTGTATTTGTATAATTATAAGTGTATAAGACAAACATATATGTACTCGTATTTGTATATACATTTTTCTCGCACTTTATACAAACACAAACACATTTTATACATTTTATACCGAAATGTATAAAATGGCTAATTGTATCTAGAATCAGATGGCAAAAAATGGGACATTTGCTGCGAATTACAATTAAAATAAACTATGGCTATAACATTTAATTTGAATTAATAGTTTGCTATTTCATACAATTTTCCCAACTATAAACGGAGGACATTTTGTTCCTTTCACATAGTTTAAGGACATTTCTGACCCTTTTCCCTTGTTAATAAATAAAATATATTTACAAACATGTAAGGTTATTCGGTTCGATTCGGTTCGGTTTGAGAATTTTTCTAATTTTTTGATAAATTAAAAAGACCATCCCAATTGTTCGAGATGGTTATACATTTAAATAAAAATCCACATTTTTATTGAAAAAATAACATAAATTAATTCGATTCAATTAGATTTGATTGGTTCGATTCAATTTTTCATATTCAAAAGTAGAAATTTTGTATTTATTTAACCAATAATAAAATCTATATCTATATCTATATATAATATAAAGTTGAATCTAGAATCGTTGATGTGGCGCCCTCTAATGGCCAGCATTTGCAATTATTTATTTTTTCCTTTTTAAAAAAAATTATTTATGAATTTTTCCTTAAAAAATAAGTACATAAATGAGTATTGAATAATAGATGAAACTGCCATTTTAAATGAATTAAAATTGACAATTATGATTAATTATTATTGGCTTCCGTTTCTATTCCTAACCTTAATGTTACTTTCTCTTCTCATATCTTTTGATATTCCAAGTATGGAAGAGTATCCATATAAATTTGAGCACAATTGGATATACATTTTTCATAATCATCAATTTTTCATTATATTTTTCAAAAAGACTTGAGTGAATATTAATGTTATTATTTCTTCTTATATTATTTTTTTGGTTGCAGATTATCCTTCAATACTTCTGTCACTATCACAAATAATTCTCATGGTAAGCAAATATATATTTTATAAGGTTTATTATTTCTTCTTATATTAGTTTATAAGGTTCTCAAATTGTTGCAAATGAAAGACTTTGAGTAATTGAGAATTCCATCATATGTTTGAAAAAAGTATAATTTTAAATAGAAAGAGATGAAGTTTTTTTTATTTAATGTTATATTATTATTATTATTTGCTAATAATTTAATATATTTGTTAAATAGTCCAAATATTTCATAGACACATTCAATATCATTTTTTTTACTTTCTACAAATCAACTAAGTAATAATATTTTGATATGAGCTAAAACTATATAATTTGAGTTATACTAACTTTTTAATATCTTATTACTATTCTTCAATGGGGTATGTTTTAATAATGTAATTAAAACGAATTTATCATTGAAAATAGTTTTTTTTGGACGTTAAAGATACATTTGAAGCTATGACTATATTAGGAAGGATTACCAATTAAAAGAATTATTTACGGTTGGTGCTTCCCATAAAAAGAAAAAGAAAGTGAAAGTATTTTAAAATAGTTCGATCATAATGAATGCATTCTTCTAAAATACATGTTACTATAATTTCTAATCAATTTGATCATATCTAGGGTTGTCATAGGAGCAATAAAAATCTTAAAGGTGTTTCCACGGTTCCATCTACAAATTGTTGTTATTAGTTTCGATCGACGATCCTTTAAATCGTATGTTCACTCTTGTGATTGTTAATACATTTACTTTCATTTTAGATTAAATGGATTAGAGTTAATTGTAAATCCAACTAATCCTTTTATGACCGTGTGAAACGTGGACATATTCACTAGTATTTATATAATCATATATAAATACGACACGCAATGTTCATTCATAAAATAGAGATGCAACACACATTACACGTATCACTTTTGTTTACCATCAAATTTGATGAAAAATATTTTCTTTTGATATACTAAGGGTGCACATCAATCGATTCGGTCCGATCTAAACCCATCGTGTGCCCTCCATATCTTATCTCTCCTTGACTTCTTCCCCCACCTCTTTGCAGAATCAACATCTTCCTTGTCTTGATTCATTTTTTCTTTGAGCCTTTTGAGCTTCATCTTGTCCCTCCACAATCTCCTCTCCAACTCATCTAAATCAATATCCTCATCATCTGGCTCAGCCACTTCCACATCAATTTCCTCAAACATCATCATCTTCACAATGTTTATATATTAGATTCATGAGTTGGATTAATTATATTATAAAGTATAAAAGAAGGTAAATACAACTAATCAAGAAATATTCAATCTTGAAGAAATTAAAAAGCACAAATGTTTATACTCCACTAATTTTTAACATAAGAAAGAACAAAAGCAAATATTTGTTGGGGAACAATGGAAAAACAATACTTAATATAGTAAATTATTTATTTAACAAAACAATAAATAAATATCATTATCACAAATAATAATAAATCGTGTTGGATACTGTTCTAAAAAAACTACTCTATTTCAACAGAGCAGAATTACAACTAATTCAATGGTATGAAATATTTTTTAGAATTAAACAGGTCTTCTCTAATTATAACTATTTCAGTAGTGTGAAATATTTTCTTAGAAATAAACAATTTTTTTCTAATTAGATAGAAGAAATTAACAAAATTTATCTAACACCAACAGGAATTTAATTTAAAGAAATAATAAAAGCAAGGGAAATCTTGTAGAAAAAAAAAAAAGGCAAGAAAGAGATCAAGTAGTAATTTTACTAGTAATTTTTAGCTTTGTTTATCTGCCTATATTTTGCTGAAGCATAAGGTGGATATTTATAGGAGGCGGCTAATGGTTAAAACATGTCAAATGTAAATATTAATTTATGATTTTGCTTTTTTCCTTTCAAAAAGTCTATTCAACTCTTTCTCTACTTAGGATAATATTTTAATATTTTTAGACTCTATAACATGGCTCTGTCCCCGAGTAAAGGAGTTTTAAACTGTAATTCTAAAAAAATGCAGGCTAAATTTTTAAAAATTCATTAAAGATTTTATAAATATTTTAATCACTTAATTAACACTGTATTTTATAACTTAATTGAACAAGTTAATATGATTTGAAATAAATATTATGTGTGAATTTCAGTCTTTTGAGCTTTTTGATTGCATTCTCCTTGATGCATTAATAAATATGAAAAAAAGTGAATAAATTTTATGTGTGTGAAATAGTGAGTAATATGAAGTTTGTGTCCTTTTTTAAAAATAAAATAAAATTGGTGGAAGTTGCTTTCAAGAAGCCAAGTTGTGGCCATTGAGAAAAGGTGTCCTACTTTGTTTTTTCGATATTTTTTTTCGTTTGAGGTTCGATATCTATATTAAAATATGATTAATTTAAATTTAATATATTGCAGGATTATAAATTTTTTACTTTTAGAGACTCAACGCAATACCTCTAATCAAGGATGAATGAATATCGATCTATGCTAGTTATATTTGTGATTTTGTCAATCATTGGATCAACCAAAATTATACTATTAATTAGATGAATACCCTCTCATTTTTCTTTATTTTAAACCTAATTTATACCTACATACACGTGCAACTTAATATAATTCTCAAATGCAAAAAATTCAACAACATCCAATCCATACTATAGTATTATTTGTTTTTAACGTTTATGTACCTTAAGAAATCTTGGTGGTAAGCGTTTTTGACTTCTTGTATACACAATTATTTATCTTTTTCCTTAAACGTTTCATTTATATATTAACGAAAATAATAAGTTGAAAAAACTGACAGCCTATATTTGAATTAGTTTATGTTACTAATTCTCGAAGTTTATCAACGAATTTATTTGGACAAATATTTAAAAAAAAACTATAATTAAAAAAAAAGAAAAAGAATCAGATAAGTAAATGAGTATTTATTGCTGAAGTGAACAAATCAATATTTCCAACAAAGCTTGTAGCAGTGGCAGGGGCAATGACAATAATGCTGATTCAGACTTCACAACAAACTGTTTATTTTCTAAAATATTCGATATTAGAAATTTATTTATTTTTATTAAAAAATTATCTTAGCACCATCAAATTATTTGAGTATGATGTAAACCTAGTAATTTCAAACGTTTCTTAAAAAATATAGGAGGGGATTATCACTAGGATCGTATCAACAAGATTCAAGGCCTAAAATTAAACTTTATTGAGAGGTCTTATTTTTTAAATTGTTATTTGTAAATTGAATAACTATAACATATTCGATGAAATCCTGTTATAAAGTAAGAATGTAAACAATAAAAAATTTCAATGAAAAATATAATAGAAAGTTAGAATAATAGATCATGGCTCAAATTTTTAAAAAGTATATATAATGATATTGAAATAGTTGTGTTGAATTTGATAAGTTTGATATAATGATATTAAAGTAGTATTGATTTGTTGCAGTGCTTGAAATTTAAGGAATACATAAAAATTTTTTGGTCTTTTTATAAACACACAACAATAAATTTTGCATTATATAAAAGGTTGGCTGTTTGATGGACTTTTAGAATATTCAATATTGAGAGAATAAATATGGAAAGATAAAAGCAAGAATAGTAATATGGATTAATGATAATCATCAAGATATAAATAAGTCAACAAAATAGGTAACCATGTAAGATAAGATGCTATAATTACATAAACGCTATTCATATTTTCAATTATTACAATAACCTCTACCTTAAATGAAATAAATAGTTATTATTATATTTTTCTACCCAAAATATTATTTTCTAATATATATATATATATATAAGAAAAATGAAGGGTCCTAAACAAATTTAAAGCTTCAAGCGATTGCTTTAGTCACTGATAGAAAATATTAAATTATAAAAAAAATTACTCAAATACACCTTTTATTTTATCATAATTTCTAAAATTTTCTACCATTTAAAAAATTTCAAAAGTACCTTCTCGTATACATTACTTCCGTAGCTGACACATCGCTATCCCTCTCCAATACATCCCTCCCTTATGTATCTGGATGTACTATTTTCTTTATGATATATCTCTTTTATGGGATATGTCCCTTCCTTATGTATTCAGATATTTGTTAATGTATTCGAGAGTCCAATAATTTATGAAAAATTCATTGATTTCAAAAGAATATAATCTGAAAAAAAAAGTAAAGAAATAATATGAGCTTATGTAAATTGTATTGTGACTAGCAAGTAGCTACAGAACAAAAATCTCATTCAGTCCCCCACCGCTCCCTTGGGGAAAGCAAAAAAAATTGTGGGGCGGTGGGCTCCATTTGGGAGAAACTGCAGATATATCCACAAAATCACTCAGATTTGATTCTTATTATTACTCCCGTTCATTTTTATTTGTTATATTGTGCTTTCTGAAAATTGATTTTATTAATTTTTAAAGTTAAATTAAATTATATTAATTTGATACTTTAAATAAAAAATTTAGATCTTTAAAAATTATACAAAATGTATTACGAGTATAAATTATAATTTTGTGCATATCAATATGATGAAAAAATATATCATAAAATATTAGTCAAATTTTTTATAGTTTAACTTCAAAAAGGAAAATTATGACAATTAAAAGTGGACGAAAAAAATTATCCATAAACGTTGTGATGGAATAGTTAAATATTCCTTAAATGGTTGTTTCAGATTTGAATTATATATATATATATATATGGAATTGCATCACGTAGATTTGAAAGAAGTATTTTCTTTTAATAATTTTCTTGTATCAAAAATTTAAATTCAAGATCTCTAATTAAAAAGAATCGTGTGATATTCTCTATGTCAAATGAGTATTTTCTTTCTTGCACGTATTTTCAAATTGTCCGTCACTCTTGCATTTATTTTAAGAAAATGTAATACGAGAATTTAAAAAAAAAATAGAATTATTCTTTATTAAATATTTATTTATTAAGATATTTATAATATTAAATTAAATTTCTAAAATATCAAATAGTTCGAAATAATATAATTTATAAAAGTCACAATATATAACTTAAGATTGAAAGAGTATTAAAAATGCATTTAATTATAAGAGCTTGAACTTATAATCCTTTTTATCTAATGTCTAATATTTTTTTATTCTTCAACACAATTTATGGACACTTTTCTTAATTTAATTAATTTTTTCTCTAATTATAATTATTACATATTTTTTGATATTTTAAATTATCACTTTTTATAATATAGTGTTTTTTATACAATTTTTAAATATATTTTAAAATTCTATATTTAAATAATTAATATTCAAAAGCATGACTCGTAAACTGAATTGGAATAGAGAGGGACTATTATTTTCAAAAACTATGTTCGTACTCCTAACCTCGTCATTCTTTCTAAGACAGAAATCGTAGTTTTAATATTTTTAATAATCGTATAAAATGTGATATTGAGTATATAAATTATCACTTTATGACGAATATTGATTCTTTACGTCTTTTAAAAAAATAAAAATAAAAATATTATTTTGTTCTTTTTAACTTGCCGTTGTACACTTGTACTGATTTGAGCTAGCAGTAGCATAGTGAGTTCCTATCCATGGCGTCCTTCTAATAGCTCTGATTTTTCATCTGTTTTAAGTTATTTCTTCTTCAACTAATGATTTCTACTATTATTTGTTGAACCTACTAATTTCAGCTATTCATTTTTTTGTTTACAGATACTCATTGTAGGAAGCTGAACAGTCAGATTAACAATGGGGAAATTTACAATAACAATGATGGGTTTTCTGCTTTTGTGTTTCTGTACTGAAGCAGTTTACATGAAGTACAAGGACCCAAAACAGCCATTGAATGTTAGAATCAGGGATTTGATGAACAGAATGAGCCTTGAAGAGAAAATAGGTCAGATGACCCAGATTGAGAAACATGTAGCTTCACCTCAGATCATGAACAAATACTTCATTGGTAAGCTTTCCTAAACAAAAATCTTGAGGTGTTACATAAACCCTTATGGAGAAATCATTTTATGAAAGTTATACATTTGAAGCTATGTGTGATAAAAATTGCCTGTACAAAATCTAGAGAAATTTGCCAGGATATGACTCAGTTGCAGCTTACTGAGTACATAGATCAGGGTAGACAGTTAGTAGGTAGTAGCATTGCCTTGCTTATCCTTCCGTACTGGTAGTCATAGTAATACTATCTACTACTATCTGTTGTACTTCGATTATCACAATATTTTGTTGTAGTTATTGTTCCTTTTTTGAATGCTTTATTATGCTATCTTATAGTATTTTGCCATGGTTTTTTCACTTCTGTTATTTCTACTTGTGGGATTACACTGGTATGTTGTGGTTGTATATTATTGAACTAAGATGATGGAACAACATGGTTGGTGAGGATTCATATAGCTGACCCAGGTTGCTTGGGATTGAGATGTAGTTGTTGTAATATATATGTATATAAAGTTTTTATCAATTGCTGCACAAGAGTGTTTGGTGTTGTTGTACTCTGCATTCAAGGACTTGAACTTTTAGATTCGCCTTTGTAGTGGTGGTTGAATGGAAGGCTACCTTTTATGGTTTTAGTGAAGTGTGAATAATTTGATTGTGGCAGGGAGTGTACTGAGTGGTGGAGGAAGTGTGCCATTTCCAAAGGCTACTGCTGCGGACTGGGTGAAGATGGTAAATGGGATTCAAAAGGGTTCACTATCAACACGCCTTGGTATTCCAATGATTTATGGAATTGATGCAGTGCACGGGCACAACAATGTCTACAAAGCAACAATTTTTCCACACAATGTTGGCCTTGGAGTCACAAGGTAAGGGAAATCGCGGTTGCATATATTCATTTCAGCAGCATTCT